TGGCTTCAGCAAGGATCCCGTTAAGTGAGTTTAAGGTGACTCCCCAAGTCTTTACAATTTTCTCTCCACTGACACCCCCTTGCTCTGCTCCACGGCTATAAATCCCCCCTTGTCGATAACTTCGTGGATTCGGAGTTGAGCTCAATTTTGCCTGCAGTAGTCTTGAATAAAGCCTTGTTTACTTTAAAAAATCATCAGAATTATATATGTGTGTGGATTTTTTTTTCTTTTTCTTTTTTTTTAAGAGGGAGTCTCACTCTGTCGCCCAGGCTGGAATACTGAAATGTAGTGGCTCAATCTCGACTCACTGCAACCTCTGCCTCCCAGGTTCAAGTGATTCTCCTGCCTCAGCCTCCCAAGTAGCTGGGATTATAGGCACCCACCATGCCCGGCATTTTTTTTTTTCTTTTTTTCATATATTTAGTAGAGATGGGGTTTCACCATGTTGGCCAGGCTGGTCTCAAACTCCTGACCTTGTGATCCACCCACCTTGGCCTCTCAAAGCGCTGGGATTATGGGCGTGAGCCACCATGCCCGATCATGTGTGCCTTTTTCATAGAGATGGTGTTTCACTGCTGCCCAGGCTGCCCTTAAACTCTTGAGCTCAACAGATCCTCCCAGCTTGGCCTCTCAAAGTGCTGGGATTACAGGTGTGAGCCAACCCTGCACCCAGCCCCATTTTTTTTTTTTTTTTTTTTTTTTTTGAGACAGGGTCTTGCTGTGTCACCCAGCCAGGAGTGTAGTAACGCAATCAAGGCTCACTGCAGCCTTCACCTCCCAGGCTCAAGTGATCCTCCCACCTCAGCCTCTCGAGTAGCATGACTACAGGCACGTATCACTATGCCCGGCTAATTTTTAATTTGTAGAGACAGGGCCTTGCCGTGTTGCCCAGGCTGGTCTCAAACTCCTGGGGGCTCAAGTGATCCTCTTGCCTCAGCCTCCGATAGTGCTGGCATTACAGGCATGAGCCACGATGGCTGGCCAACTGTAATTATGTAAAAGCTTGGATGTTTCTTTAGACGACACCGTCATCACTGTGAGAAAGCGACCCTCCCATTAGGCCGGTTTCTGCACCACTACAACTACCAAAGTCTACTGCCGCTAAGAGATACGCCTTAGCTTTGCTATTTATTTATTCATTTACTTAGAGATAGGGTTTTGCTCTGCACCTAGGCTGTTTACTTTTTTTTTTTTTCCAGACAGAGTTTCGCTCTTGTTGCCAAGGCTGGAGTGCAATGGCGCGATCTCGGCTCACCACAACTCCTGCCTCCCGAGTTCAAGCAATTCTCCTGCCTCAGCCTCCTGAGTAGCTGGGATTACAGGCATGCGCCACCATACCCGGCTAATTTTTTTTTTTTTTTTTTTGAGTCGGAGTCTCGCTCTGTCGCCCAGGCTGGAGTGCGGTGGCGCCATCTCAGCTCACTACAAGTTCCGCCTCCCAGGTTCACGCCATTCTCCTGCCTCAGCCTCCCAAATAGCTGGGACTACAGGCACCCGCCACCACACCTGGCTAATTTTTTAATATTTTTATTAGAGATGGGGTTTCACCATGTTAGCCAGGGTGGTCTCGATCTCCTGACCTTGTGATCCGCCCGCCTTGGCCTCCCAAAGTGCTGGGATTACAGGCGTGAGTCACCGTGCCCAGTCTAATTTTGTATTTTTAGTAGAGATGGGGGTTTCTCCATGCTGGTCAGGTTGGTCTTGAACTCCCGACCTCAGGTGATCCGTCCACCTCAGCCTCCCAAAGTGCTGGAATTACAGGCGTGAGACACCACGCCCTGCCTTATTTATTTATTTAGAGACAGGGCCTCACTGTGTCACACAGGCTGGAGTACAGTGGCGCAATCATAGCAAACTGCAGCCTCGATCTTCTGGCCTCAAGCGATCCTTGTGCCTCAGCCCCCAAAAGTGCCGGGATTACAGATATGAGACTCCAAGTATGACAGCCTTAGTTTATCTTTTCTTTTCTTTTTTTTCCGAGACGGAGTTTCACTCTTGTTGCCAAAGCTGGAGTGTAATGGTGCTATCTTGGCTCACTGTAAATTTGGCCTTCCGGGTTCCAGCGATTCTCCTGCCTCAGCCTCCCAAGAAGCTAGGATTACAGGCGTGCACCACCACACACAGCTAGTTTTTATATTTTTAGTAGAGATAGGGTTTCACTACTTTGGCCAGGCTGGTCTCCAACTCCTGACCTCAGGTGATCTGCCTGCCTCGGCCTCCCAAAGTGCTGGGATTACAGGTGTGAGCCACCATGCCTGGCCAGCTTTTCTAAGCCACAGAGATCTGGTGAATGTTTACAACTGCAGCAGAATGTGGGCCACCACAAGGCTACAAAAGCCCAGAGGAGAAACAGGAGAAACAGCAGCATAGCAGCCGTCGCACACGTCCATGGTCATGTGCTCATGGGAGATGGAAGGTGTGAGTTTAGGGTGGTGAATTTCTTTTTTTATTTTATCATTATTTTTTTCTTTTTTGAAATGGAATTTTACTCTTGTTGCCTAGGCTGGAGTGCAATGGTGTAATCTCAGCTCACTGCAACCTCCACCTCCTGGGTTCAAGCAATTCTCCTGCCTCAGCATCCCAAGTAGCTGGGACTACAGGCACCTGCCACGACGCCTGGCTAATTTTGCATTTTTGGTAGAGACGGGGTTTCACCATGTTGGCCAGGGTTTCACCATGTTGGCCAGTCTGGTCTCGAACTCCTGACCTCAGGTGATCCACCCACCTTGGCCTCCCAAAGTGCTGGGATTACAAGCGTGAGCCACTGTGCCTGGCCACGTTCTTGTGGTTTTTGTTGGTGATTTTGCTATTGAAATTCCCCCAGACACTGAAATGCTGTCCAGGGTTCATAAGTACCAAAAGACTGTGATGGCTGGGCTCGGTGGCTCACACCTGTAATCCCAGCACATTGGGAGCCGAGGCAGGAGGACTGCCCAAGGCCAGGAGTTCAAGACCAGCTTGGGCAATATAGTGAGACCTCCAGGGGTACAAAAACTTTTTTAAAATTAGTCCAGTGTAGCCTGTAGTCCCAGCTACTCAGAAGGCTGAGATTGGAGGATCACCTGAGCACGGGAGGTCAAGGCTGCAGTGAGCTATGATCACACCAAAAATAAAATACTTAAAAAAAAAAAGCCGGGCGCGGTGGCTCACGCCTGTAATCCCAGCACTTTGGGAGGCCGAGGCGGGCGGATCACGAGGTCAGGAGATCGAGACCATCCTGGCTAACACGGTGAAACCTCGTCTCTACTAAAAATGCAAAAAATTAGCCAGGCGAGGCGGCGGGCGCCTGTAGTCCCAGCTACTTGGGAGGCTGAGGCAGGAGAATGCGGAGCTTGCAGTGAGCCGAGATTGCGCCACTGCACTCCAGCCTGGGCGACTAAGCGAGACTCTGTCTCAAAAAAAAAAAAAAAAAAAAAAAAAAAAATCTGTGATGCACCTCATGGAGAAAATCCCTTATAGAGAAGCTTCATGCAGACATGAGTTTCAGTGCTGCTGGCTGTGAGTTCAATGTGAATGAATCCACCATAGATATTAAATAAGATGTCTTTAAACAAACATACATAAAACAAGGTTGTATGAATCGGTGGATGAAAATGGTGTGGCCTGGGCCGGGTGCAGTGGCTCACACCTGTAATCCCAGCACTTTGGGAGGCCAAGGCGGGGGATCACTTGAGGTCAGGAGTTTGAGACCAGCCTGGCCAACAAGGTGAAACGCCATCTCTACTAAAAATACAAAAAATAAATTAGCTGGATATGGTGGCCTGAGCCTGTAGTTCCAGCTACTCGGCAGTAAAGGGGCCGGGAGTGGGGGAGCGGGGGCGGGGGCTGAGGCCGGAGAATCGCTTGAATCTGAGAGGCAGAGGTTGCAGTCAGCCGAGATCGTGCCACTACTGCACCCAGTCTGGGCGACAGCGCGAGATGCTGTCTCAAAAAAAAAAAAAAACGGGCTGGGCGCGGTGGCTCACGCCTGTAATCCCAGCACTTCAGGAGGCCGAGGCCGGTGGACCATAACGTCAGGAGACTGAGACCATCCTGGCTAGCACGGTGAAACCCTGTCTCTACTAAAAATACAAAAAATTAGCCGGGCGTGGTGGCGGGCGCCTGTAGTCCCAGCTGCTCGGGAGGCTGAGGCAGGAGAATGACGTGAACCTGGGAGGCGGAGCTTGCAGTGAGCGGAGATTGCGCCACTGCACTCCAGCCTGGGCAACAGAGCAAGACTCGGAAAGGAAAAGGAAAAGGGGAAGGGGAAGGGGAAGGGGAAGGGGAGGAAAGGAAAGGAGAAAGGAAACAGCAATTGCTGGGTTTGAGTCCCAGTTGTGGCCTTAGCATCCCTGTCGCAGTTTCTCTATCTGGAAAACAGCAACAAAACCTGGGCTTCCCAGTGGGTTGTAGGGAGACTGAATGAGGTAATAATGTGTATCACGTGTTGGGGATGTGGCCACTCCAATGGAAACAGTATTTGTTTTATTGTTATGCCCAATGATGGAGGGCCGAGACCAGGTCTTCTCTATGATCTAGCATCCAGACTCACTCACTCCCTGAGCCTCAGTTTCCCACTCTGTAGAATGGGAGACCCAAGCCGGGCGCGATGGCTCACGCCTGTAATCCCAACACTTTGGGAGGTCGAGGTGGGCGGATCCCCTGAGGTCAGGAGTTCAAGACCAGCCTGGCCAACACAGTGAAACCCTGTCTATAAAAAATACAAAAAATTAGCCGGGCGTGGTGGCAGACGCCTGTAATCCCAACCACTCGGGAGGCTGAGCGAGGAGAATCGCTTGAACCCCAAAGGTGGAGGTTGCAGTGAGCCAAGATCCTGCCACTGTACCCCAGCCTGGGGCACAGAGGGAGACCCCATCTCAGAAACAAACAAACAAACAAACAAAAACCGGAGACCAGCAGCACCGCCTCCCCGCCATTTCACCCACTTGCCCAGTGCAAGAGCGGCCGAGTCTCAGCTCCACGTGCCTAGTGTGGAGAGTGGCAGGATCGGGACTCCAGAAGGCGTGAACCAGGTAGTGTTTATTGCCAGGAGGACACCTGCGCTGCCTCCGGACCCCAGAGGGTTTTGACACGAATGACTTAAAGGCACTGGCTTCTGTCCAGCTCCAGCCCTGCCCGGCAGGGCCTGGGGGTGGAGACCCCATCACCACGCAGCCTCGACCCGCCCCCTCCTCCAGAGCTGCAGCTCCGCCCAGTGGCTGAAGATAGCAAAGCCTTGCAGGGCGGAGGTTCCCAGGATGCAGTGAGGCGGGGTGGCCCCAGGCTGGCCGGGGGTGGCGTAAGGGGGCTCTTCCCGCGGACGGACGGGTGAGGGACTACGAGACGCTGGGGGGCAGGCGGGCAGCCGCGGTCTTCTCCACCACGAAGCCGTAGTTATACTGGGGGAAGGGGAGAGTGAGAGTGAGCAGGTGCCACAGTAAAGAGAGGACCAAAGCGGGGGTGACTGAGGAATGGCAGAGGGGCTACTTAGGGACTTGAGTGGTCTTCAGTCCTGGAGAGATGGGGTGCATCTGGGGGCACGTGGGGATGGGGAAGACTGGGACAGCCTGGGGCGGAGGGGGGTTGGGGTCCCAGCCCCTCAGGCACCTCCTCCCTAGCCCTGCACCCACCTCCTCCTCAATGTCCGCCAAAGACTTGATGGTCAGGTCCCCAAAAGCAGAGAAGGCCTGGCGGGCAGAGGTGGATCAGCCTTGGGCCCGATCCCAACCTGAAACCCCCTTTCCCTCCTCTTCAAGGAGTCCTGCTCTCCCCCCGCCCCCACACTCCTCGAATATTCCCTCGTCATCCCTCCCCCTTCTTTTTTTTGTTTTGTTTTGTTTTTAGAGACAACGTCTCTAAAGCCACGCCTGGCTAATTTTTGTATTTTTAATAGAGCCGGGGTTTCACCATGTTGGCCAGGCTGGTCTCCCATCTCCTGACCTCAAATGATCCACCTGCCTTGTCTCCCAAAGTGCTGGGATCACAGGCGTGAGCCACCGCGCCCGGCATCCCTCCCCCTTCTTGTCACAGCCTCTAGCTACTGGTGTCCAGCTGCTTTCTCTGGATGGACCCCTCCCCATTCTGAGACTGAAGACCTTCCAGCTGCCACCTGGAGGTGACACACTCCAGCCCCAACCCTGGACGTGGCCCTCTGTGCTGGGGCGCTGGATACAGGGATGTCCTGGCACCCAGAATGGTGATGGCAGGCGCAGACCCAGGCTCCCCGAGACCCCAACTCACCAGGGGGCTGCAGCTCTTGCCCTCAAATCGTGGGTGGAGTGTGAAGGGAACCCCATCCATGGCTGAAAAACATATGAGAGGGGAGGAGGTGAGGTGCAGGGAACTGTCCGCCCCACCTGCAGAGGCCAACCCCACACAGCCTGGCTCTTTCAGTCTTTACAGAATCTAGAGCTGGGAGAGGGAGGTAGGAAGATCCTTCCTGGTCGTGTAATCTCAAGACAATCACACCCTCCACCTCTGTACCTCAGTTTCCCCACTCTGTGCTCACCTGAGATGCCATAGAGGCTAGAGGCCTCGTAGATGGAGTCATTCCTCCGCAGAGTGGATGCCCGAGAGCCCAGCCTTGACGGTGTCCGCTCCAGGAGGCCGCCCTTACTGGAGGTGGGATGACCCAGGTTAGGCTTCATCCTACCCCCACGGCCACCCCCACTCCGATGCCTGAGGGCTCACCTCGGCTGGCTGGCTGCATCCAGAGACAGGCCCTGCATGTCCCGGCTGAGACCTCGGGGCTTGGGCACTGGCCTCGGGGCCTTGGCCTTCTTGCACCAGATGGCAAAGCTGCCCATGTCCCTGGACCGGGAGGGAAGGTAGGAGGGATGCTGGCCCCATGTGGGGCCAGGGTTGAGGATAGCCCCTGGGAAAGGCAGGGGACCTGGGCCTCCAGGTGACCTCTGTCTTTTGGGGGATTTTTTTTTTTTTTTTTTTTGAGATGGAGTTTCACTCATGTGGCCCAGGCTGGAGTGCAATGGCGTGATCTCGGCTCACTGCAATCTCCACCTCCCAGGTTCAAGCAATTCTCCTGCCTCAGCCTCTGGAGTAGCACTCATGTGGCCCAGGCTGGAGTGCAATGGCGTGATCTCGGCTCACTGCAATCTCCACCTCCCAGGTTCAACCAGTTCTCCTGCCTCAGCCTCTGGAGTAGCTGGGATTACAGGCAACCACGCCCAGCTAATTTTTTTTTTTTTTTTTTAAGTAGAAACAGAGTTTCACCATGTTGGCCAGGCTGGTCTCGAACTCCTGACCTCAGGTGATCCACCTGCCTCGGCCTCCCAAAGTACTGGGATTACAGGTGTGAGCCACCGCACCCAGCCTTTTAAGGGATTTTTGTTTTAGCATCTTGACCCGCACCCTAAGCACCACACCAAACTAATACTGCTGGGTTCAAATCATCATTCTGTCTATTTTATTTTATTTTTTTTATTTTTTATTTTATTTTATTTTATTTTATTTTTGAGACAGAGTCTCGCTTTGTTCCCCAGACTGGAGTGCAGTGGCACGATCTCAGCTCACTGCAACCTCCACCTTACAGATTCAAGCTATTCTCCTGCCTCAGCCTCCCAAGTAGCTGGACTATAGGCGTGTGCCACCACGCCCGGCTAATTTTTTGTATTTTCAGTAGAGATGGAGTTTCAACATGTTAGCCAGGATGGTCTGGATCTCTTGATCTTGTGATCCGCCCATCTCTGCCTCTCAAAGTGCTGGGATTACAGGTGTGAGTCACCGCGCTCAGTCCTGTTCTGTCTACTTGAGATACCAAGTCACTGACTCCTCATGAGTCCTACAAGATGGTATATATGTCTCGGTTTTAACATGAAGAATCTGAGGCTCGGAAGGTGGCAGAAGGAACAGGAGACCTCAAGGTTGTCTCTGAGGGTCAGATTTGCGAGATCATGATTTGGGAGGGCAGGGAAGGTAGCTAGACACTGGGGGGTGGCCCTACCCTATTCGAAGGTATCCAGGTACTGTCTTGGTCTTTCCACTCAGCCGGACATCAAACACAGCTGTGTCTGCAGCTCCCAGGGGCAACAGCTTCACACACATGCGTTTCTTCTTGGACACAGAGGCCTCTGGGAGTAGGGGGCAGGGGAATAAGACAGGGAAGCCAGGAAGGGGTGGGAGGGCCCAAAGATGACTCCAGGATGAGGCTCACCAGGGTGCTGTTTAAGGCAGCCACATGGACAGCATTGGGGATGGGGGGTGGGAGGAGTGGTTAAATCATGAATGGTATAGATGAAGGAGGGGATTCCAGGCAGCCTTTAGGAGCCACTGGAGTAGACTGATCTTTGGTGATATGAAGGTGCATTCATGGGGTGGCTAGCTGTGGAATCAGACAGAGCTGGGTGCCCATCCTGGCCCTCAAAGCTTACTTTCTCTGAGTCCTCTAATCCTATAGAAGTTGGCCAGCTAGCACCTGTGAGCCAAATCTGGCTCAAGGCCTGTTTTCTTTTTTTTTTTTT